ATATATATAAAAGATCTGTTGAAATTTTTGACATTCCTTGCCATAAATGAATGGTTCATTTGCTTTGCTGAAATGTACTCTATTGGGCTGCCCATTCTAGAGAGCAAAATACAAATATAAATATGGTTAAAAATTACCTTTAGCCTGACAGAAAAGTAGTTAAAGAATAGCTGACTTAAAGATAAAAATCCAGTATTTTATTTCTACCTTTTCTCTTAATTTTGTGGTCTTAAGGAATTGATCTTACCTTCTTTTCCTCAGTTTTCTTACCTGTATATGAAGAAAATAAAATGGATGGAACATATGCTGTTCATACATAAGATAGTATATATAGCTATATCAGATAGTTAATAACATTTCAAATGCTTTAGAAAGTGCTTGAGATACAATAATTAGTTTGAGACAGCTACAGATATCAAGTGTGCTTTACATATGCATAAAGATCCAAGAAATAGGTATTACAATTATTCCCATTTTATAAATAGAGAAGCTAAGGTTTAGAAAAGTGAAGCAAATTGTCTACACTCATAGGTGGTAGAAGAACTATTGAAAAATCTGTCTTTTTGTTTCTAGAGATGAGATCTTAATATCTTTACTATACTACTTTTAGTATAAATGTTTTTCTTCTCTTTCTTCTCTTCTTTTTCCTGTTCTTTTTCTTATTCCTTTGTCTTTTGTTCCTTTTATTCTTCTGTTCTTCTTTTCAATTTGGTTTTAGATATTAACAAAAATTACTGTATTCTAGTTTTGCTTCTCTTGTATTTAATAGTATTTTAGAATGTATGCATCATCAAAGGAATATTTGTTTTTCATTAAGAGTGTACAACAATGATGTTGCCTTCTCAACTCTGCAAAGCTGAATTTTGATGAGGGAAATAAATGTCTGTGTGTGGACCCCGTGGAGTGTATGTGTTGTGGTGCTTCAGTACGCCTTTGATGATGAGTGCAGATGAAGAGAGCCAGTTACGGTGTCTAGACTGAACAGAGCCTGAAACTACCTACACCTGCCCCTTCTGAGGCCTGTTCCTTTGTATGCTTGTACCTCCAGTGCAAGTATGAAGAACTGTTTTTATTCATGATAAATATCTGGACATGGTTTTCAAGAATGGCAAGAAAGTTAGAAACTGATGATGAAGGATAAAGGAGTCATTAAAGGTTTGGAAGAAACCTTTGGGTAAGGTAGTAGATAGCTTGGAAGAGAATAAGTCATAATACTTGATTATGAAGTATGAAGTATCATCTTTTGCTGGATTCGAACCACCATAAATTGTAGGAAAAGACATTTTATGCACCACTAAGAAAAAGCTTTTGCCACTGAAACTATGATACAGTGCTTCCTTTTATTATATTAGATGTAGGACATGTCCCAATTTTAGAGTTACCCTATGTGAAAGGCAACATATTAGAACAGATGAAATAGGATTACTTTATAGAAGAGTAACGGAGAAACTTCAGTTTACCTCTTATTTCTCATTTTGAGTCTCAGCTTTCTTTTGTTTTTAGTCTTTCATTGAGTCTGGCTGAGAAGCGGTCTTGCAGTTTCTGTTTGATTTGTTTGTAAAAGAGATGGAGATCTCCAACCTAGTAGTAGATTCGGCACCATATTTTCAAGACAGTCAAATAAATTGAATTATAAAGGAATCATCAATGAATACATGAAAAACTATATTTTACTGCAGAATTTGATAAGACTATGTAAAATAAAATGAAAATATTATTTTTAAAGTACTTTTCCAAATTGGGAATTAGATAGATACCATTTCTAATTTCATGTCCATTCAATAATAGTGATAATGTATTTGGAGATTCAATCTTTTAAATAACTGAATTAAAATAGTTATTATGTGATCATGCTGCTCAAACTTGAGGTTGCATTTGAAGCATCTCTGGAAGATGTGTTAAAATGTAAATTGTGATTTTAACAGTTCTTGAAAGTAGAGCTTGCAAATCTGCATTTCAACAAATTCTCAGATGAAGTGAGTGCTATTTGAAGACTGGTATGCATGTGTGATTACTTACCATACCTGACTTTTCCAAGAGCATCAGTCAGTTTCTGAGGGCTCAATTTAGAAATTTGGAAGTACAGGAGAGGACATTTCAGAGTGGTGCTTTTATTGTGGAAAATCAAGCATAATGTAAATTATAACTAAGGATACTTTTATTTTCTTTAAAATTAACGCAAAGTTAGTTTGAATATTATATCAGCTCTATGAGATTTCCTCTTAAACACTGTCTTAACAACCTTGAAGTGCTTGTAAATATTACCTTAGATCAAAATTTCCTCACTGTGAGCAGTTTGTCATGTAGAAGAGGTAAGTAGATATTCCACAGATAATTACCTTCTGTCATTATATTGTCAGATTGCTACTCTGTTAAATTGGAAATTAAAAAGCTATAACAAATAGTAACATTATTTAAATGGAAACGACAAGACACTTAAAATATTTTTGACATATATTATCTACTTTATAGATTTTTGTCAACGTATGAAATTATTTTAAAATTTAATATAATAGGATACATCTGAGGAGTATTATTTATGCAGAGAAGGGGGAAAACACAGTTCAACTTTATAATATTCCAATACTGTTCCCTTTCCTTGAAAAATAAGAATCATTACAAACAATAATAATGGCATTACAGATAATACTTTTGTTTTTTATGCAATGTTCTTAGAAGTATTACAATTAATCTTTTTTGCCATTAGTTTTTAATCTATATATACATCTATTCAAGTATCATTCCCAAAGAATGCCTTATTGCTACATCTCCAAAGCAGTAAACTTTTTTATGCTGTTGAATTTAGGTAACAATGACAGTGATTACCCTTAAATGTAAGGAAATAGTGATTCTAACTGCCTAACCTTAAATTTTCTTCAAACAGGTGTGAAGTTAAAAGTTCTTCAATCCAGATTTTAATTTCTAGGGCTTATTTTCTGTGAACAAGGTGATACAAATGCTGTATTTTTATTTGCAAAACCAATTCAGAATTCTTGAATATTCCCTTATTTCCTCTTTTCACTTAATATTACCTTAGGCAAATGGCCAGTCCTAACATGCACACCAAAACTTCCTTCAAAGTTCTCCCAGCCCCCACCTCCTTCCTTCAGAGGCAACAATTGTACCCATTAGCAAGGTCAGTGGCTTGGAGAAACCTGGAAAATAGCAGCTACCAAAAACCTACTAAAATAATATCTCCAGCAGGTGATAGATTAGTTGGAACAAATTGGAACCATTGCAGTTCAGCAATCCTGGTTTCTTTCAAACTGTTTTAAAAATGTCGTCATTTTAATACACAATCTAAGCCCTGCGGAACAGTCCACAGCAGGTTAATTTGAATCATATGATGTGTCACTGCCCTCAGCTGACAAGAGCTCTATTCCATGTGTGAAGCCATAATAAATCCATTCCCAACCGAGGAAAATTCCCTGTGAGAAGGTGAACTAATCCAGGCCCCACACTGGCATGCTAGCCCTCCGTAATTGAAAGCAGGGCCACCTGTTACCAACACAGTTAGCCTACAGAGAAAGAATTAGTGTTAGATCAGATACTTCTTATATTGAAAAGTCATTCCTACTTTTGAAAATTCAAATTCAGCTGTAAAGTGTTTGGTATGACATCACACAGAAATGGAAGAATGTGCCCACTTGATCCCAGTTTAAAAGTTTTGTTAACCATAGGATTCTTAACTTTGAAATGAGATTTTTTTTTTAACTTAATGAGAGCTGACATATGAGAAGAACGGAAAGGGTGCAGATTTTTCTAATTAACTCAGGGTCATTTACAAAAACATTTGAGCTCCCTGGTATTTTTTTTTTCATTGTTCTTTTGCAGGAAAATGTTTGAACCATACCTCACTGTAGCCATGAAGTGACATTTAAATACCAACAGAGAATAAAAGTGCTAAATCAAGACAAATTCTTAAGTCATTTCTGTCTTATCATAAATTAATGATTAGCATTCACCTATTCATCATATAATTCAAATAACATGGTTGTTTCAAACACAACATGATGAATGCAATTTCACATTACCTTTGGTTTAATATCCACATTATCTCTAATTGAAACATATACCCACTGTTATGTTTTTGTTCAAATCTCATTCTGTTTAACTTGTTCATTATTTACCTATGTAGTTTTCAATTTTTCTAATTTCATTTTAGTTTTGGACTGGTTTCGTTTCTGGTTCCATTTGATTTTTGTTTTAAAAATCAGTGTGATTTTTAATTGTCCATAATCTATTCTGAATCCTGTTTAAACATTTTCTTAATTTATTGTTTTTATGTTACAATGATTTTAATTTGTACTTTCAAAAAATTTGTAAAAAGGGGCTAGGGATTTAGCTCAGTGGTGCCATACCGGCCTGGCAAGCACAAGGGCCTGTGTTCAATTGCTAGTACCAAAAGGAAAAAAAATTCGTAAACATCCTAAACTATCGTATCTCCACAAACTTCTTTGATTTGAATAAAAATGTATACTTAAGTACTGTAAAATAAAAAGACTTCTCAGATATAGTAACAAACCAAATAGCTTTACTTAATATAAATGTAAAGCAAAAATTTTAAGTTACTTTCCCCTAAATATTTGTGTGGGTTTTTTTCGTATTGAGTTTATTGGTACTTTTTAGATATACAGTACAGTTATATTCATTGTTGGGATCTTGTACCTTTACATGATAGGTCTTAGTTCTCATTTTTTCCCCATACCGCTGCCCTCTGGCATATTTGTGTTTTTTAAATGTCTTCACTTTTCTTGGTGAACCGTGCATTTGTTCTCTTCTTATTAAATTAATTACTCAATGCAAATTAATTCAGATGTATCTTAAAGATGACTGCTTCAGGGAGTTAAAGTTATCTGGAAAAGG